GATCTATATTATACAAAAGATCTGTATTACGGCTCATTTTTCTTTAATACATGGGAAGATATTTTGATATAGGTCTTTAAATTAAAGTTGCACTGCTTGATTCCATGTTGATGTTATCGTTTTTCCTCGGAATGTTCTATAGGATGGCGTTTCACTTAACTATCTCCATGGAGACAATCAGGCAACATCCTAAGGCCAAGTTACGGGTCAGACCTGAGGAGAAACGGGCGTGTTCACAGTAATAATTCATGTTTTTACTGTGGTTTTGAGAAATAAAAACACATGCAATTGAACGGATACACGATATACTGTATGTGTTTAATGCCATACTGTGGAACATCCCAGGCAAAGCAATAACATCGCCATGGAAACAAGCTAAAGGCGAACCCTCCATCAGAAAAGGTGCACAGTGCCAAAAAAATTCATCTTTTCGAGCCAATTTCGCAGTTTCAGTCCTTCACTTTCGAATCACAAACTGTTACTTATTTTCAGAAACTGTCTCTTGTTTTTCCAAAATACACAATCAATGCAATATTTACCGGCTAGCGTAGTGCGTACTGGTGCCAGTGCCGCGTGCGATAAAGCCTGTGTTGTGTGGTGTTATTTACTCAGATTGAATAGACAGCACGCTCGCAGATTTGGAGTGTTTACTGCTGTCAATATATCTGCAGATCTAAAGGCAGAGGGCCCAGAGGAGATGTCTGTTCCACTGGTAAATATTAGAAAAGGAGATGACAGGATCCACTATGATATGAACACCTTTTACTAAATATACTGAGTTTTCTGAATATACGGATGTAACAATGAGTGTAATGTGGGATTGAAATTGGAAAGATACACTGTGAAAATACCAGGGTGGATTGAATTGTGAGATGAAATGGCGAAGTGTTGGTATATTGTACCAGTTTGCAGATAAGCAGGGGGACTACAAAGACGGTACTTAACTCCACGGTGCAGCCAGCATGAAATAATAACTTTTATGAATCAATTTGAACACCTTTATATCTTAATCCTTTGGAAAATCAGGGTAATGATAGCACTTAAGGTTAGACAGGGACGTTTTAGAGAAAAAGTTAAAATAGGAGAATCAGAATTCATCTTCAATGGGAAATAATTTTCGTTGCAGACATGCAAGAAGTTAAAGTTAAAGTGTCTGTACGTGATTCTTTTCCATGTATTTGAGCCCCTGTTCAGATATACTATATAAGCAGCTCTTTAAGTTAAAATATATAAGACAAAGAGATGTGCTTGTATACACTAGCAGATGTATATAAATGAATACTGCAATGAATACCGTTTGTGTAAATTCTATGACATTTATATCTGAATTTGTTGTTGGGTTTCAGAGACCAACTTTTCCAGCTGTTTCAGTTCTGATACCAAAGATACTTGATACTTTGGTCTCAAGTATCTGCTGATACCTGGCATGAAATGATACCAGTGTAGTGACTGAAAATATCATTTATTTCCTTAAAACTATAACAACATATGGTTAAACATTATCCGAATGTGTTATGTAACTACAGACCAGCTTTAAATAAATAAATAAGTTTAATATTATGAGACGTTTTGGGCCAACATTGGCCAGTAAATCATCATATTGCACCAGTTCATAGACCAAAATGGGATATCAGCTGAACAAATATGTATCCTGGAGTAGATGTCAAATACACCAACATTTTTTATATTGGTACCAGTATCGTATCGGTGCATCCCTAGTTACAGATGAGATCACAAAATTCCATCGGCCGATGATATTTAATAGCCAGGCTGGTGCCACCTAGTGCCTCCGCTCAATTTAATTTCTCTTCAGCGACTAGTTCAGGAATTGGAATACACTAGACAGTTCACAAAAACCCCAGAAGTGCAAGTTCGGGCACCAGCCAATCAGCGAAGATCCATACATTCTGTGTTGTCAATGATTCCCGACATCAAGGATTTAAAGCCAGAACAAAAAGAATGTTTGGTGAATTTTATCAAGGGGAAAAACGTTATTGCCCTTCTTCCAACAAGATTTGGGAAAAGCTTAATATAGCAGTTAGCCCTGTTAGTGGCACATTACATACGTCACGACCAAATAGCAGTGATTGGTTAAATAAAAAAAGTACCCTCCTACCGTCGAGAGAACGAATTCAAATGCTGCGAGGTCAGTGGCTGATAAATCAGGCTAGACATTTAATACAGCTAGGGGAAAGATAGAAAGAATACTGTCAAAACACATTTCTTTGTTGTAATACAAGACGTGAATGGATCGACCCACTAACAGAAATCATCAGGTTAAATATTTGTGAGTTTGGGGTTTTTCATGGCAAAGTATAACATAATCAATAGGGAAAACTGAGCATTTGAGAGTATAACATCAGTACATGTTAAAACCTGAAAACCAGCCATGTAATAATTATAGCTCTAGTTGAGAAATTGAGTATTTTTTGTCCCATTACAGGTTTATATAAGGTTTAAAGGTTAGCATTTGTACAGATTGCAAGATTTGGGTCAATATATTTGTCGAAAACCGTGCCCTCTGACTACCTCTATTTCCCATTTGAGTTTATATTTTAATTAAGAACTAATGAAAAGTCCACCGTGAGTCGCGCTGTTTCAATATTTCATAAAACCATTACTGCTTGATAAGTCTTCTCCTATTCTATTCTATTATGATGTGTGTAATCATTTTCACGTACAAGGATGTTCAATCTGGAAATTTCATAACGCGGCTGAATAATTGAAAGAACGAAAATTGGACGTATTAAACTAGTTATATGCAGATTGTAATTGAAATAAAGCAAGTATTTTTGAATGAAAGTATATTTTTAGACTAGTTTGATCTCGCTTGGGGTTCTTTGTCAAACCGACTGTACGCTTTTGAACGCAGATGATGTATTTGGTATCTCAGCTTTTAATATTATTGGACGTGCTTATTGCCCCTCAGGAGTTGTAAAGTTAAATTGAATTGGACCAAATGGCAGTAAGGCATATGCACACGAATTACATTGAAAGCTATGGCTAGTGGTTTCAGTAAATGTCCTTTCAGAATGACCACACTTTGGGAGAGAGATTTGAGTATGAGGTTGTTAAAAAGATTGGAGGTAGTTTTCGCTCAAATATGGCTGTCAAAGTTATTATTTTACCGAACGTATTCTGGTCAAAATTGAGGATGTAATATCGGACATTTTGGGTAGTTTCATTTCGGATTCCAGGCATTTTGAAATAGGAGGAACTAAAAGTCTATGTGTCCTTTAGTAGAGAAAGCACAGTTCATAGGAGCAGCCGCCTGTTGTGTAGGAGCTATAAATATCATTATAGAGAAACCAGAGGGTCTGAGGGGCATTCCAGTCTGAACTTGCAGTATATTTTTAGTTTATTGCAGTAAAAACACAGATTTTGTAGGACTGTGCTATTGCTTAAATAGGACATAGGATGAATACTTTGGATGAATTAATCAAAATATTCATTTTTCTATGTAAAATAATACTGGTGTAAACTTGCACAACAAAATGGATTCTTGCAATATTTGTGAGTTCATAAACTCATCATCCATCTTGAAATACTCCCAGTGTAAGGTTCAAAATCACCAATCACGTTGCAGCATTGAGGTTCATGTGGAAGTTGAAATAGATTTATACTTTCAGTGAGAGTCGTCCCAGATTGATAATGTGAAGAAGTCAGTTCAGAGTAAAGACACAGACCAGTCTGACCTGAGCCAAGTTAAGGCTACATTTACATATAGCTGGATATGTTGAAAAACTAATATTTCCCTTCCTCCATTTTCCAAAATAACATCATGCACAAGGCATCGTTTTCAAAAGTGTTTTCCTTAACACCAACCCGCATAAATACGCCATCGAGCGCCATCATAACTACACCAAGCCTCTAGGCGGCACCTGGATTAGATTCAAAACTGTAGCATTTATTTCAATACAGTTGTAAGTATTACTCAAAAATACCTTGAAAAACATGCATTACTAAGCGGGCTCGCCTCTCCACAGATCTGTTAAAGAAGTGACAAAACCACTGACCTCCAAGCCTCATTTGTGTCTGGTTATGGATATGAAACATCAGCTGTGTGCAAATGCAAACAGATGAAAAGTGTTTGCACCAGAAGAAATGTGACTGCTGCTCTGAATGCTCCATGATCATCATCATAGCAAAAGGTAAACACTGGTCGCAATCTTGGAGCGTCAGCTGCTTAAAACTCCATTTATCTCACTTTACACGTAGACGCAAAACCGTAGTTTTCCAGAATCTCCACTCTAGCCAGAGTTTTTAGAAAGATTTGTTTTCAGAGGCGAATTTGCCATTTTAAAAATACCCGTGTTATGTGAAAACAGGACCTAATACTGGAGAGGAAAACATTCATTAGTTGTTTAAAGAGCTTGTATTTAAAAGTGTGTATTGAAGCCTGTGTTAAAAGCCACATTAATATAACGTATAAAAATTGTGAACTGGTATATGTAAAAGAGAAAATACATGTTTTTTGTTGCCATATAGCCTTGCCTTATTATTTTGGTTCACTTTAGATAACATATAAAATATGTGTATGGTTGTGTTAAAAAAAGAAGAGAAAATCTATTATATCTACATAATGGACTAAATAATGCAGACTTAAGGAAATGTGCCAATGGACAAAACACGACTCCAGCTACGTGTGTTTTTGGTAAAGATACATTATAATATTACTATTTCTTGTAGGGGACAGATTACATATTACAATATTTTAGGAGCTATAATGGTGATTGATCATCATTAGCTTACTCAGAGTTCTATTTAAATTCATTCAGGTTTGAGTAATACGAGGCTTCCTATCCTCACCCACAGCCAAGTGTTGACTAACCCTTTATTATTAATCTTTCTATATTTGCAATGCTCAGAATGCTCTGGTCCAAACTGGGATATCATGAAATGGTAATTTTTATGTTCACATGTGCCTTATAGGGTAGGACGCCCATGCTGTGAGGTCATCTGAAACCTAACACCACTAGAGTGTCCCTTGGCCCTCTCACCTGACGTTCTGCCTCATGTAGCGGTCGGGGTCCTGGGCGGTGAAGCTGGTGAGCTGGGAGCCTGCAGGGAGACCATCGTCCAGTTTGATGGACTTGGGGTTGGGGCTGAACTCGGGGGGCTCGTTCAGGTCCACGATACGCACAGAGACCGTGGCCGTGGACTGGCGAGGCAGGAGGATACCACGAGCCAGAGCCATCTCATTCTCCGCCTCCACGGTCAGCATGAAGGCGCGTGACAGCTCAAAGTCTATGGGCTGTGAAAGAGAAGAGGAGAGATTGTGTTAAAGAAGACGTATTGTGCTTGAGCCTGCTATATAGTTACAATCTACGACACCCGTGGATCATTATGGACATTTGCACATTTTAAAATATTGATCTAAAATGACTTAATAAAAGAAACTTGTTAGCTGACTTCTGCATTAGAAAACTGCAATGCCATATGAGAGCTGACATGACTAAGCTTGTCATGATAACACATTTCAAAGTGCGATATATTGCTAAAGAAGATATAGATGACAATACTGAAACAAAACCATAAAGCAGAATTATCCAAAAAACTTATTCTAAATGTACAAAAAAAACAAACAAACCATGAGCTGAAATAAATAGCAGAATGCAACTCTTTAGTAGTAAGTCTGTGTCTATAATATCTTAGAGAAGTTCATAATCCAACCCTCTACAAATCAAATCTTATCGTAGAACAGAAATTAACCAATATTTTCCTTCTAGTACAAAGAAAAAGTACTCATGGAAATACTGACCCCCAAATATTACTGTTCCATCCAACATATATTGAATGATAAGTCGATATTGTAATTACTGAATGAAACAAAACACAACTCCAGGTATGTCTGTGAGGAGAAAACAACATGGACCAAAAAATATAGGCCCTTTAAAACTGCACTATGTAACTTTTCTGTACGAAGGTTCGTCATTCGCTTTGTCTCCATGGACAATGCTAATCTTGTTAATGCTTTCCCAACAAAAGCTCCACGGTATCACATTAAACATGTCTATCTTGCATTTATTCAACTACCGTATTTTTCAAACTCACACTTTTTTCATGGTTTGGGTGTTTCCTGCTTCTTATTCTCCATTGAGACTCATATATAAAAATGTTCACAGTGGCAGCCGTGAGAGGGCGCTCTAGGCTTGTGGGTCAGTGTGTGCCACTACAATTACTCCTGTACCACTGACACTTTGGGCATTTCTATTGCAAAAAAAAAGCTGCAAGTAGTGAAATATGCAGCCAAAACCGGTAATCGAGCAGCAGAAAGAAAGTTTGGAGTGAGCAAGAAACTTGTGAGGGACTGGCAGAAAGTGGGGATAAAGACACAGCTTCACAGTAACCAGGAGGGTGCTCCATGCAACTTTTCTGGAAGTCATTGGATGGATCGACAAAGTCTGAACTTCAGTGACACTGAAACCATCCTGTCGGGATTCAGAAAGGCCGGAATAATTCTAACTGGAACTGACGCTGAGTCTGACGACAGCTACACAGAAGAGGAAACGGCGCTCTGTTTACCTCCGGAGGTTGTGGAGTTGCTCATAAGTGACACCGAGGATGAAGAATTCAATGGATTTAGTGATTTGGAGTGAGATGGAGAGTTTGGTAAACTTGTTCTGTTCTGTTGTTTATGTTATAGTTTATCTGAAGAACTGTTCATATGTGACATTAACAGTCTGTTGTTCTCTGTTCTATTGTTTTTACTATAACGTGCCTTTAAAGATGAAATGTCAGTTCCTGGTCTCTGATTTTATAAAATAAATTTCCCAAAAAAAGTGCCACTTATAGTGTGGTGCGACTTATATGTTTTTTTCTTCTTTATTATGCATTTTTTGGATGGTGCGACTTAATACTCCGGAGCGACTTATTGACCGAAAAATACGATACATGTTTAATGCTTACCAACTAAAACAACATGCATATGATTTGAAATATTTTCTATGACAAAAATGTTCGGAAAGTGAAAACTATCAAAATTGATGATTTATTTTTGTTTAACACTGATGTATAATTCAAAATAGCTTAAGGCCTTATTTGTCCCTGAGCTATACCTGATGAATATTGATACTGCTAAAAACATCACATATAAATGAACCTTTTGTACTTTCTAAGGGTAAAAACATTCGCTGAACTTTGTTAATGAAAGTTTGTAGAAAAAAAAAGAACCAAAATAATTCCCCAAACTGAAATTTTAGCAGAATTTGCAATAACCTGTGACAATTGTCCTTTTGACCTTCTGGAAATCCATTGTGGAGCTTAAATGGGGTCAAGAAGTCAGTAGCTTTTGTATTGATTCGTTTTGTCCTCTTTGGGTCACCTTGGCGAGAGGACGGGTGCAAGCTGGACAATTGCAGGTTAACAATGTCCAATTCTCTTCCACATGCATATTTTTGAGAGGTAGTAATAGCAGCATTGTGTAAAATAGTTTTGTCACGATACTAAGGCTACGTTTATACGATGACGGTCTGAACAGAAGACACAAAAGTGGCATTGCGGGTTCACTTTTTATTCCGCGTTTAGGCGAGCGTTTTTGGGAGGAAATCTGCGTGCATACGGTGACGCAAAAGTGTGTGGAATTCGATTGTGTATAGATGCCAGGGGGCTCGATGGTGACGCTAAGTGATGATGTATGTGATGTAAATGTGAACGCAACGTGAGTAGATCTGATCAGAGTTTTGCGTCTTGGGCAGTGTAGACAGAAACGCTACGACGGAGCGTATTCAACTTTTCCACTCTGGAGGGTGGTTCCAGATTTGTCAGTTTTTAAGCCCCAAAAATGCCGTCACCGTCTAGACAAAAGGCACTTTCGATAAAATATTTTGTCGTTTTTACCCGCAAGCGTTCTCGTGTAAACAGGCCCAAAAACTTCCAACTCAATTTCAATACTAAGGAATAGACTCGAGACTCAGTATTGATTCGGATACCATGATGATAATAAAAAAACACTCTTCATTTAGACAATAGAATGAGATTTTCAACATTAAATCATAGTACTTTCTTTTCTGTGGTCTTATATCTGACCAAGTAGGTTCCATATTGGTCCATGGGCGTATACGAGTCTTATATTTGTTCTGATACAAGACTGTTCTGATACAAGATAGATACAACTATTGAGTGAATGTAGTATCGATACCTGCTCAAATGAGTATCTAGATTCGATACTAGGGATGTGACAATAACCAAAATATTGTGATATCGTATCGTCAGATGTCTCACAATAATATCATGGAGTGTCACAATATATCGAATTACAAGTTGCTTTAATAAATGCATTTTTTTTATAGCAGCAACAGCTTATGAACATCGGAAACTACATATCCCATGATTCATTTCAGCACAGACAACATGAAGAAATATGTTTTTTTACTTGAATTCTCGAGATTATGACGGAAATAATTCACACCAAAATCTTGTCAAGGTATTTTAAAAGCAAAAAAGTGTCCCATCTACAATTATATTCGCCTCTTCAAAATATCGCAGTAAATATCGTACCGTGAGATGCATATTGTGATAATATCGTGCCGTGAGATTTAGATATCATTACATTCCTATTCGATACTAGTTTTAGAATTGATTAGTATCTGATTTTCAATACTTTTACTTTCGATAGTGGAATATGATAAAGCATAATTTTCAGTTCAAGGTTGAAAGTGACTGTTAAAACAAGCCATGTGTTCAATTATTCATAGTATTTACTAATAGTTTATGGGCTGTGCAATTGATTTTAAATAAACAATAAATTTTAAACAATATAGAGCTCCAGTCATTTCTAATTGTCAATGATCAGCTTGGGTTATTTTACTGGACTTTACTGGACTTTACACTCCGACAATAAAAGACTGTGGTTTGTGAATGATTAAAAGCTTGCATTGTTTTATAAGAAGTACTAATAGTATTTTTAACATTATATTACAGCCACAGTATGTTATGTTGAGCCAAAAAAAGGAAGACTGAAATAAAAGCCTAATTTGTTTTATTGGACTGAAAAACATAGAAAAAATGTGTTCTTAAAGGTGCACTGTGTAACTTTTTGGTTGGTCACCTGCTTGTTTCTATGCAAATGTCATTGCTCTGGCTGGAATGTTCCACAGTATGACATTAAACAGCTCTACTTTACATTTATTCAACTGCAGGTGGTTTTATAACTCAAAAATTCCTAGAAAAAACAAGCATTCTGACTGGGAGCGGTGTTGCCTCTCCACAGATCTGACCTGGTTTGGTTTGATCTCCATGGTGATAGAAATTAATTCCAGACAAAGCAATCACATATCCACGGAGAAAAGCGTTTGATGTACCCTCCACACTCCACCAGAAAAGTTACACAATGCACCTGTAATGTGAGTGGACTTTTTCTGATCAATCTGCATTAAAACTAGGGCCAGACCAATAATATCGACAAACCGATATGGGCACTTGGAGACATATCGGTCTAAATTTTGCCGATATGGACCAATAGTCCACGTGGGAATGTTATACCTCATTATAAAGCTTAGCCTCTCTATATTATGTCCATTTAATCCAATTTACAGACAGATAAATATCCTAATATGTGGCACCGCATCAATATTTATCTGCGGAGTAATTTGTCTGTGTCTGAGACGCCATTCGGTCCCTGAACGCACCCCAGACTTACGCTACTCACGTGCGCTTGTTTACACACACAGCTGCTGTCAACATGCTATTTATTATGGACGATCTTTCTGAGTCAGGATCGAAAGGACGCTAATTAGTGAAGACTTGAGTTGTCTGTGTGAGCGGTGAGTGTTGCAAATGTGTCAGTTTTGAATCTACTTTTGATTCTTTCTCATTGTTCAGCTGCCTGTTTTTCTTACGTTGGCCTATTGTAAAGTGACTATAGCGGCTGTATATATGTTTTGCACCTGCACTGGTATGTGAATAGAGGTGTGAATGATCGGTATTTACGCATATAATTACTTACTTTGTGGCACATGATTTACCGTTAAAGACTAATAAGGGTGGTCTACGTACTTTCTTTACTGGCTAGATTGTCATGCAAAGATGCCATCTGGCCGACCTACTGTCTTTAAATACGACTGTAAAGAGGCAGAATAACAATAAATGCAGCCTAAATAAACCCAATTTAAAATTCAATAGAACCAAACCTAAGTTTTATAATCAATTGAAGATTTACAGTGAATTTTTACATCACTAAATATATCGTCTTTTATATCGGCTATCAGCACCTCCTAGATGGAAGATAATTTGTTCCATCAGGTTGTGAATTTTAAACACCGCTGAATTTCTCACTTTGAATTTTTTAACTCTGAAAAAAGATGTTTGAATTATTTTTATTCTGAATTTTAGTGGCTGAAATTTGAAGTTTACTTTCAATAAAAAAAATAAAAAAAATAAATCACAGATATTTTCAAGTCCTCAAATTCAACTGTCGAAATTCAGAGTGTAAAATTCGCAGTGAAAAATTAGACAGCAAAGATCCAAGATGCCAAGGCAGAAGCAGTCGATCATGTGTGAGTGAGGAGTATAGAGACTGTTTCCTATTGGCTGTTCTCATCTGTGGGCGGGGTTTACACTTAACAAATCAAAGCAATGATGTTTTGATGAGGCTAATTCTGATCAATGAGATCACTTCACTGCACCATTTCCTGTTTGTTACTAAGTTAGATCAGATCACTTTGGATTGATTGCTTCTGCCTTGGCATCTTGGATCTTTACTGTGAATTTTTTTTTCACTGCGAATTTTACACTCTGAATTTTGAATGTTGAATTTGAGGGCTTGGAAATATCTGTGCTGAATTTTATACACTTTGAAAATGTACACTTAAAATTTCAGAAGTTAAAATTCATAACAACTTAACAACAAATTCAAACATGTTTTTTCAGAGTTAAAAAATTCAAAATGAGAATTTCAACAGCATTTAAAATTCTAAATCTGATGGAACAAATTATCTTCCATATGCCTACAGTTCGCATCACACCACCAGGAAATATTGATAACATCATCAAAGTATAAAGAGCATATAGTAGTTTTTTTCTGTAGCAGGACCACACTTCAAATGTCAAATCATTACAACAGTCACATCTTCTCTGTTGATACCACTACTTCTCCACACCTATGTTTTATTTAGAAAAAACTGGTAATGTGCTTCAAAACATGGCCATTCCCACAGCTGCAGGGCACGATCACTCTCTAGCCTCAACTCAAACACAGCAAGCAGCTCTCAGTGTCCTTGGTCCACCATCAAAAATGCTATTTATAACCTCCCCGGGCCCATATACATTACACATATTTGATCCCCGCATATTTTAATATAAAATCTGACATACGGTGAGCTTAAAAGAACGTGTAGCAGTAAATATCGATTTTTGGATTTTGAATGAGGACCTGACCTTGAGGGGGCAGAAGCAGGCCGGATCTGCAGGGACCGGACAGAAACAGCGCCCCCTGGAGACCGGACCGGAGCTGGAGAGGGGCAGAGCTCTGACATGGTTTATGAGGCTGTAATCTGCAGCCAAGAGAAGCTCTGCTCAGATGAGTGGGATGAGTTGCTATGCGTTCTGTACGTTAGTGTTTTCGTCCTCCACAGTGCAGTGTTTCTACCCACAACTAGTATAAATATGTGATGATTAAAGGTGGGTAGTATTCAGTTAAATTTACTTTTACTGGAGTATCTTTTTAAGAACTTGTACTACCTTTTGAGCAACATACTTTTACTCTGACTTAAAGCTGCATTACGAGCGTGCCATACCTGCTAGTGAAGTTACAGTGGTCCCTCCTTTATCACGGGGGTTACATTTTAAAAATAACCCATGATAGGTGAAATCCGCGAAGTAGTCAACTTTATATTTTCCAATTATTCTATCTGTTTTAACGCTGTAAAAACCCCTCACCACACACTTTTTACACTTTTCTCAGACAGGACAGTTAACCCTTTTTGCATCCTGCATTTTTGGAGACCCGCACCCACGCAGTACAGCACCGCACCCACCCATTAACCCGAGATTATATCAAACTTTTGCGCGGCATACACCACGGAGTGAACCAAGACTAAACCAGAACTAACCCAGGACTAACCTAAGACTGATTCCAGGACTGAAGAGAAGGACTAAACCAGGACTAAACCAGGAGTAAACCAGGACTGAAACAGGACTCAAGATCAGGAAGGCTCAGAGGTGACTGCAGGAGAAAGGACGGACAGAGAGCTCCGCACCTCACGGTAAGCGCGGCAATTGCCCGATCGCGCTGCACTTCAAAATCACACTGGTAGCGATCGAACATTTATGTAAATTTGGCTGAACGCACTCTGTTCTGTACAGGAGACACGGCACTAGGAGACTGAGTGACAATGGTCTACAATCCCTTAGCCAATCAGGATGCAGGGGGAGGAACACAATACACGTTCATACACTGTAAAAAAAAAAGGCATGCAAAATTGCACAAAAAAAAATTGCAAAACAGCGAGACCGTGAAAGGTGAATAGCGATAGCGAGGGACGACTGTATTGCTTTGTGTCAAATGTTCCACAAATTGGCATTAAACTACTATCCAGAAGTAACACTGGCTCAGTGGGAAAATTCAAAATTACAATTAATTTCCCCTCTTATTTAAGTTGTATTTAGTGTGATTCGTGATTGTTTGAGTGATCTTCCGGTCATGTTAAACTTTTCAGAGATTACACGTCTGCAGGTCGTACACATAGACCGTATATATGAATATATTCTAGCCTCTTAGCGTTAGACCTAAGTTATCAGTGTATCAGCGTTTTCAGGCGTCCACACGGTGATGGATCAGATCTTCGTGAGAGCTGGCGGCACCAGATTGTTCCGTCTCTGGACCAGTTTTCAATCAGATTAGTGTGGACGAACACTACATCCACAACGAAAACGACGACGACGAATACATACTAGTGTGGATGGGGCCCTAGAAGACACTTATTCAGCCTTTTACAGCTCAAATGTTATCATGTTACAACAAAAATATCCAAAATCTCTACACTTTTATGATGAAAATGTATACACTGTAAATACTGAGCTCCAAAATATATTGTTCTAGCTTTTGTTTAAGATTAGGCAAACAGTAATTATGGTTAAAGTCTTTAGGAATGAATGCAAGTCAATGTAATGTCCCCCAAGAAGCATAGAAACTCAAGTATGCATGTGTGATTGTCGGTGAGAGAGGTCACCGACGAAGAATGGCAGCCATGTTTCATTAGTCATACATGCACCGGCGTCCACATATAAAATTTTACATACCCCATCTCATCTTAACCATAAAAGAAAACCATTTATGTATTCACGCACTGTTCTCTATTAAACGTGGCTACGCCCTGACCTTGACCACGGTGAGCAGGCCCTCGTTGGTGGTGGGGTCCGTGGGGATGGAGAAGCGTCCGGTGGGGTCTCCGGCGATGATGCGGTACACTGCGCTCCAGGCCCCCGTGTGAGGCTGGTCCTTATCTGTGACGGTCAGGTTCGCCACGATCACGTTCACGAGGTTCTCATGTACCTCCCCGAAGAACTGGAACAAAGAAAGGTAAATCAATAAATGTGAGGGGAATGTGGTGTGAAAAATCTAATCTAATGGAAATTGTAAATGTCAAAGTGCATTGTGTAACTTTTCTGGTGGAGGAACCGTCAAACGCTTTTCTTCATGGAGATGTTCTTGCTTTGTGTGGAACGTTTCTATCTTTACAGAGACCAAACCAGACCAAGTTACAGGTCAGATCTGCGAAGTGGCGACCCCGCTCACAGTCAGAATGTCTATTCTTCAAGGTATTTTTAAGCTACAAATCTACATGTACTACAACAGATGTAAGGTAGAACTGTTCAAAGTCATATTGTGGGACATTCCAGGCAGAGCAATGACACATTTATACAGAAACAAGAAGGTGGAACCCCAACTAAAAAGTTACATAATATAAATTCAATTTTTGAATTTTTTTTTACATTTTTAAATTTGTGTATAATAACAATACTGTTGAAAAGCTGAAAAATAATTAAATAAATAAATAAATAAGATATAAGGTTTTTGTGTTGAATATTTGAGCCCCATAAAATACAAGAATATGATCTAAATTGTCATTGAAAAAAAAATAAATATATTTTTTGTCAATAATGCATGTGAATAATTAATAATATAATTTAATTTATTTTTAAAAATATATGGTAATTTCTAAATTTATTTATTTTTTAGCCAATAGGAGAGTTACAAAAATTACATGGCGTAACCAGAATGTACACTATGCTACAAAGTTTAAAAATGTACAAATAAATTAACTGGTGGTGATGCAATTTGTGGATTTCAAAGCTTTTCTAACAACTTTTAGAATTTGAATCTCTTTTTTTTTTTAAATCAACCATCAATCCATCAATGGTTCTGTTTTGTAAAAAAAAAAAAAAACTTTAATGTTAAGAGAAAGACTTGTGTACATAAATAACATTAATTACACTGAAATAATATGGAAGAATAGACTAAAGGATGTTACACATTTTGATCATTTTAATTCTGTTCAATACAAGAGTTTTATCCCCATGACAACTTAATAAACAGTTGTAGAGCTTAGTTTGTGTTCGTACCGTGTCTGTGGTGAACTCTGGAGGGTTGTCGTTGACGTCGGTGATCCTTATGACTGTCGTCGCTGTGTTGGAGAGGCCGTAGGTGGGGTTTCCCTCCATGTCCGTGGCCTGGATGATCAGCGTGTACTGGGTCACTTTCTGAAACACAAAATTATAAACACAGGGTAAAGAGTTTGGAGAGGCGTTTGGCACACTGTCGGAGTTCCTATGACGATCTATGACACCCGTGGATCATTTTCTTATGTTATGGACATGATCAAATTGTAATATTGATCTAAAACAACAAACAACAACAACAACAAGTCCGTGGTCTGTTTGTGATGAGGAAACTACATTAAAACAGATCAGAAAATGGAGTCATAGATAAGCTCTAATAACAAAACCTCCCTCATGGCGACTGAAATATACAGACTCAAAGTACACATCTTTAGCACAGCCCAGAGACCTGTAAAGTCAACTATTTGGAAGACTTCTCAAAATGATGTAATGAGACAAAACTACATCCGTTTACACAGAACCCACAGGAAACCAGACAGTGTCGTGAAAACGCAGAGTAAAACAGTAGAGGTCTGCAGCCAATCCTCTGTCAGGAAAAGACTTAAAGACAAAAAGAAACAGTAGTTTGGAGAAGAGTTGAAAGGAAAAAATGAGGCATGTGTGTATTAAATAGCAGTGATTGAAAGTCTGTATTCATTATGTTCAGGAAAGTAAAAATTAAAGACATTGTTATTTGTTTTAGAAAAACAAAATAATGGGAATATAGCAGCAAGCAACAACGAACAATGATGAGCCAGGCCCATCCCTGCTTGGCTTCAGACGTCAGACAAGATCAGGTGGTGGTGGATATATGTAAATTCACTCACCCAAGAGAACATTATGTTGACAAAATTGTTTTGTTTTTATTGTAATTACTATATATTTAATTTACATATGCAGTATATTTAATATGTTCTCAAATTACACACAGAGGACAAAACGCCTTCATTCAAATGCATTAAAAAAATAAATAAACATCAAATCCCCCAAATATTGTTATTATCTTTCTTTTATGTCTTTTTCTCTCTTAAAAAGCTTACTCTGGGATAATCATCTGTAACTACTGACCACAAGTTCAATCATTTCATTTAAAATTTGTTTCTGAGACTTTATAAACTGCGTTATTCAAACATTTTCTAGAATCTTGCACTTTAAACGGGCTTTCTGGACTTAAAACAACTGGATGATGGATATTTGTTGGCCTGTAGCTGCTAAGAATCCACAATGCCTTCGAAATGTTAATATTTGAATTTTTCGCAAAAGTCCCTGTTTATTTCATAAATTTATGACTTAAACCTTCCTCCCTGAGTTCTGGACATTTAAAATCACACCTGAAGCTGTAAAACAGCCACAGTCTGTAGATGCTCCACCAGACTTCATCCTTCCTCTCTCCCTCGCGTTTTCACGTGTCACAATACTAAAACCCATTTTGACCATATTTGCCTCCCCAGTTAAAAAAAAGGAAACAACTATAACATGGGTAAAAGTTCTAAAAAATGTATTTATCATAATTTGATAAAACTACATTGTTCTTTATTTTACACTAGCACTTTGCTTCACTCCAATACCAGCCAAACCAAACTCTTTTTATTCAATATGAAGTCTGGATTTAGTCTGAATTCTTCTATCTGAATCATAAATTATTTTCATCTAAGTCAGACTGTAGAGCATCACAAAACATTAAATCAACAGCTCAAACTCCAGGCCTATTGCAAGAAGCAATATTTTCTTCCAGCCAGCTGTGTAGTAGCGGCGGAGAGGTACAATATCCAATCAAAAGCATTTCTGTCTGTCATAGCGCTGTGACTGCTGTAGCCTGCTGTTATTGTGATCTTTTTTCATATGTGGGTTAGAAGAAAACTTAGAAAAACAGTTCTCAACACCTCTGCCCCCACACTCATACTATCAGAGGCAAACAGGCAAGGTGAGTGAAGTGTACGGCACAATGTTACAAGGCATTACTGTAGTCGTAAGCAAACAATCAGATCTGATCTACTACTACTTTAAAATACTGTATTTTTCGGACAATAAGACGCACTGGATTATAAGGTGCAATATCAATAATGTTGATTTCTCTCATCTATTTTCATACATAAGGTGCAAAGGCAAAGATACATAAAGCAAAGATAAGGTATAAACTTCATCAAAACAAAATGAAGAAAGGCAATAGTACACAGCAAAAACAGGACGGCTACACATTCAGCGTGAAATATTTCAGAGTTCTTCTACGTGTTATTTTAACTATTTGAAAGTTATGGGGATTCGAATTGGGGTTATTTGCCGGAGTTGATATGGTTGAAGATAATTCAACTTCCCTTAGTGTTAATTTGGCACCTCCCACGCACCACTTCAAACTCCTCCAAGAGAAGACCAGTTTGAACCAGTTTTGTACATAATTTCATCTTAAATTAACTAAAATAAAGTGTAAATATAAAACACCTCTGTGTGCTGTTTAGCTAAATCAGGATAACCCCACAAAGTCTTATTCATTTACTCTCAAAACTTTAATATAACTCTTGATTTTGGGGTTAAACAAGAACTTTGGTCCAGGGTTACTTAATTAACATTTCCAAAAATGTTAAATTAACTCTAGAACAGATTGGACTCATATAAACCCTGAGAAAATGTTAAAAATTGATTATGTGAGAGTCAATTTTAAAACTCCACTTTTTGCTGTGTAAAATTTTAAAGGTGCACTGTGTAACTTTTCTGGTGGAGAGTCCATCAAATGCTATTGTTTTATCTGGAATTTTTTCACAGTATGGTTTTAAATCCTTCTATCATCATGGAGACCGAACCAGAGCAAGTTACAGGTCAGATCTGTGGAGAGGCGGAGACACAATGCCTGTAACTGAACAAGGTAGGTAAGGCAGACCTGTTTAATGTCATATTGTGGAACATTCTAAGCAGTGCAATGGCAAATCCATAGAAACAGGAACAAACTAGTTACACAGCACATCTTTAAATATAATGATTTAATATTTTAGTGAAGAAATACTCTCAACTAACTGTGCCAAGCCACGAAAATACTGTTCCTTGACTGGAAATACAACGGCGTAAGAGGCCGATGATAACAGTTCACTGATACGATCCAAAACATGTCTTCTTCCATGTACGTTTTGCATTGGGCCCTTTCTGAAAAGTGGAGCAGATATTGGTTTGCACACAACAGCTGACAGCAGTTTTCAATTAGAGTGTCCCTGAGAGGAGTGAGTGTAAATGTTTGAGTGGAGCTGAGCCAGTCCGGGCTGAGCCGTGCCAAACGCTGACAGGTGAAAGAAAAGCACTCGCTCACCGCACCACAGCATATCAACAAGCTAAATATACGGATGGCATTACACACAATGGAACACCGCCGGCTACTGCTGCGAGGACAATCGAAAAGAAGTGAAAGAAGCTATCGAGGGTTCAAAGATTGGGTTGATGCTTTAACAACATGTACAGATTGGAACTAAACACTAAATCAGCATTGAGATTCTGGTGTTTTTTTGCTACTAAACTGTGTATAAGGTGTTTTTAATAGCGTCCTAGTCATTTTTTGACAATTTCAGTGGACATTTTGCAGCTTCCCTGGTCAAAAGTGTCAAAATCAGGCTATGTTCAGACTGCAGGGCTTAATGCTCAATTTGTATTTTTTTGTGAAATCAGATTTTTTTTGCGAGGTTGTTCACATTTCCAATTAAATGCAACTTGTATATGATCTCCAGTGTGAACTTTAAATGCCCCAAAAGTGTCCCGCATGTGCATTGGAGGACACGAAGACGTCACATGCAGTTTACATAAGTAGCCCAAGACATGAGGACCGGGTGATTTTAAAGTTGCTGTTGTACCGGAGCCAGAACATGTACAGTTTATTTGTTTTAAGAGGAGATTAAGAAGGAGAAGGACGAGGTTTGTGGCCATGGCGTTTTGTGGGGCAGCGGGAGCAACGACTGTAGAAAGGAACATGTGGGCCAAGAGTGGTGGGATTGATACGTACTTCGTTGCTTCACTGACACAATTCATAAACAATTTTTGTATGATGCGAAGGACGTTTGTGTACATTTGTGAGCGCCTACTTGTACCACTCTCGCAGGAGGAAACACGTCTTCGTTGACCTGTTTCAGTGAGTAAATGCCTTAGCGTTGGGCTGTATTGGCTCAAAACAGGTGCTTGTTACCGTGTTGTTATGTTGTGTAGGTGGGATGAATGCGACCTGGACGTTCAGACTTAAGTCTCATATCAAAAGATCGAATATGTATAGGTTTTAGGAGCAAATATCCAAGTGGCCTGGGTTGCATTTGAAAAAATCGGATCTGTGTCACTCAGACTGTCATTAAAAGATCAGATACAGGTCACACAGGGGTGAAAAAATCTGATTTGGGTCACTTGAGGCTGCAGTCTGAATGTAGCCAAAGTGTATGCTCCACCAGCCCGCTACAACTGCAAGTACTATGTGACATCACGCAAGACTGTCCTGATTACATCTAGATCAGAAACCTCACGCTGCAGCGGTGGAGTCTGATGTATGGATACACCTCTCTCACACTCTTCTTTCGTCCTCCAGGTTTTGCACAGTTTAGCAGCTCTACTTGAAATGTGGTTGTGGGCGGAGCTTAGGTGTTTAGTCCCACTTTAACTATTAAGATTTGTAAATAAAATTGTACTTGTTTCTGTGCAGGCTCTGCACACCTGCCTGGCCGACAGGCACGCTGAAGGGGAGGCACTTAGCTGTTTTCAAGAAAAGCTCCTGCACACTGTCTCCAGGTTTTTTTTTTATTGATACGTTTCAATCCCTCAGACTCAGAATATAAAGTAAATAAATAAATAAAGTTGGATACCAAGACTTCATTCATTTTTAAATGTTTCTATTAATCAGTTTCAGGTAATCTAATATTTTGAGGACTTTTCCCATTCAAAAGATAAATAATATTTCGTTTTAAATTCTTCATTGCTACGGTAAGAAAACTTAAATGTTAATAGAATGATTTGCATTAAATTAAATAATTGTGACTTTGTTAACATATGGAAGAATAGACAATAGCATGTTTTGGTATTCGGGTTTCATACGCTACTAAATATGTGTGGTTGGGGGTGGGCCAGATGTAGAAATGTATTTTTTATTTATTTATTTATGTGGTACCAGTAAAATATATATGAAGTCCAATATCTGAACAGAATGAATAAATTTCTTCAAAACAGCTCATGAATGCACAAAGCTTAGGTAACCTTTAAATAATGTATTCTAGAAAAGGAATGGTATCTTCCAAAGCTGTTTCTTGGACCTGAACTTCCCACTAACAAATGTGTTCACACCAAAAATACCTACCAGCCTGCCCCTATTGGCCGGCTCCTCCTAGAGAAATGTCAAAGCACTATGTTTTATAGAGAGTGCCAAAAAGCCCTTCTGTTACACCCCCTCCATCCCAGCAGAGCAACCTGTTTAGTATGAATAAAAACATGGGAATATTTTTGAGTTACCAGTGAAAGTATGTTGACATTTCTGTATGTGCTTAATTCCATTGCATGGGTCTATTACCATGGGTGAATTTGGTATAGCTTTCACTTTAATATAGCTGTAACGTACTGGTTTCAAATCAGTAATAGAGTCACACTGAACCTGCAAGGCCTTTAGCTGTCACTTCCCGAGGACACATTTCACTGAGAGTCCTTTTGGGTTTACTGCAAAAACGGTTTAAGTTGTTGGACCATCCAATGCCGTCTGATCTCAGAAGCCAAGCAAGGCCGTGCCTGTTTAATACTTGGTACTTCAAATTAATACTTGGCTTTACTGCATACTGTTATTGTGTCCTTTGGCAACACACCCAGTATTCCTAGTATTGGTGGAATATCCATTTGGAGTTTGCATAGACTGTATACACTACCGGCCAAAAGTATTAGAACACCACACTTTTTCCATTTTTTTACGGTTTCCTGTTGACCAAAATGTATTCTAAACTTTTGATTCGTGAAAGTGTCCACCTTTGGCAGATGTAACAGCTGAACACACTCGTGGCTCGTTCTTTTTACAACAGAAATCAAATATTCTTCAGAAAGTTCTTCCCAAGTCTGTTGCAGAAGTTCCCATAAATGTGTGACACTTGCAGGTTGTTTGGATTTCACTCTTCCGTCCAGTTCATCCCAAAACCAGCTCCATGGGGTTTAAGTTTGGAGACTGTGCTGGACACTCCATGTTTTCAAGCTTCACCATCTTGTTCTTCCTTCCTTCCTGAGGTAGTTTTGGCAGAGCTTGGACTTGTGTTTTGTATCTTTTATCTTTTTTTTTAACCTCTGGCTGTTCACTGCTTACCTTTGTACCATTTCAACCTTTTCATTGGACATGCACAACTTGAATTGCAATAAATAACTGGAAAAATTAGGGTGTTCTAAAACTTTTGACTGGTAGTGTACATATTTATTTATATATGACTGGCTCCAATTCACTTTCTATTGAAAAACCATTGCCCCTCTTTTCATAATTGCTGCAGTGAGCCTTGCCATTTTGGTCTTAAAATGTTCATAATAACCCACTCTATATGATCCTGGTGTTTTTATTTCATTCCTTTGTCCATGAATCAAGATATGAACATTAATAAAAGACCAATCAAGCGCCGTCTTTCCCAGAAGTCGCTCCTGTTATTGTAGCAACAGGTTTGATTGACAGCATTGCCAAGCGCTCACACTGCCAGTTTAGCAGGGAGTGTTACTTTCAACAGCCTTGCTCTGGATTAGCTCTTTGGTTTGTATAACACTCTCAGTCGAAATTCTAAATATGGAACTCGCCTCCAAATTCGCCGCTATATCTGGTAGCCTTGTTGAGCTTTATTTGGCTGGAGGTAAACCCTATAGGTGATGTCACACTCCCTTAGTCCACCTCTTTATACCAACTATATGAGTCTGTCAATTAATCAACCAAAACCAAAAATGTAGAGCTGAGTTGCTTTCAAAATGAGCTAATCATTGACTAAAACCTGACAAAAAATAAAAGAGTCCTTAAAATTATGATCAAAAAGATGACGTAGACTAGATAAACCTTTGCACCAGTCAGTATGAGGGGGATGGAAGCTTCTCTCTCACCTCTCTGTCCAGGCCGGCAGCCACAGTGATGATGTCTCCCGTGCGGTTGTTGATGGTGAACATGTTGGAGGAGGGACTCGGAGGATTCTGGGACAGGATCTTGTACCGGAGCATCCCGTTGGCCATTTTAGGGTCGTCTTTATCCACCGCGGTCACTGTCATCACAAACGAACCTAGAGAGCACAGTAACAGACGAGTTAGCATAATGAAGTCTTTAAAAGCAGCAGTGGATGTACTCAATTTTCTTATTTAAGTAAAGGTACAGATAAATTTACTTGAGTAAAAGTAAGTAAGTAAAAGCATTACATAAAACAGTAGCAATACAAATCAATCTTTTCTAAATTTTGTGTTTTTGTGTAAAACCGAAATGTAGTGGAGCAGAAAGTACAGACACATGCTCTCAAATGTTGTGAAGTAAGTAAAAAAAAAAACATCCATTTAATTCTATTTAAGTACAGTAATTTATCTTCCACTATTGTTTAAAAGCAAGAGAGTTACATAAACCAAATGTTTAAAGGGACAGTCCAGAATTTTGGACATAGGACCTCATTTTCTAGTGAGCCAGAGTGTTGGAGACGTGTGGAGACACTTTTTAAAATATTCCATCCAGTCCTTGTATTTGCAGAGGTCGCTGGTGCTAGGCTAGTGCATGTCAATGGCCATAGTTATCCTGCCAATAAAAACAGTCTTACTCACTCCACAAAGCATGAGACAAAACTATTATTACGTCAGACTGTCAATGTAAATGTCTGTGTTTAGAAGTAAAACCAACCTTGCATTTGATCTGAGCAGCAGCAGCAGTGAGTTGTACTTCCTGATAGAAAGCTTGGCAGCGGCGGACTGATATATGAAAAATAGTCCCTCAACATGCAATGATTCATGTGATGCAAGGTTAGTTTTATTTCAAACATTATTCTATCAACACAGGCATTTACATCGACAGTCTGGCATAATAATTGTTTTGCTTTTTTTGTGGAGTGGGTAAGACTGTTTTTAGTGGCAGGATAACTAAGGCCATTGACATGCACTAGCCTAGCACCAGCGACCTCTGCAAACACAAGGACTGGATGGAATATTTATTAAAAAGTGTCTCCACACGTCTCCAACACTCAACAAGAGGCTGTTTCGTGTAATAAAGTATCATTTGTCTTGCCCCAGTACAGATATATCATAAAAGCAGCTCTAAAACTAAACACGTCTGCATCTAATTATAAAAGCCTTTTACCCTCCAAAAATCCGGAAGTCCACTGTTAGCATGAAGACCAATAAAAATTGTGAAAAATGCTTATAAACTCATCAGGGTGAATAATTGGACCACTGCAAACCGTGCTGTTTTGAAGATAAGTGAAAATGAGTTATAGCTTTAGCTATTTAAAATTCTTAAATGTATTCAGGGATGACAAAACAAGAACTAAAACTAATATTTTTGTTGACTCTTCATAACTAAACAAAAATTAGTAAAAGTGACAAGTGGACACTCGAGCTGAACAGAATTTTAACACCTTTTTAAAGAAAACATTGTTGGCTAAAAAGTATTACTAGAAAATATTTGACAAAATCTTGACAATACCAAACAAATTAATTAGTTAGAAAAGTGCGAGTAAACAAATTAAAAGCTGGTGATGCAATATCGTACCGGGTTTGGAGCCCTCGGGGACAGAGCCGTTAAAGATGTTGTGAGTGAACTCGGGCCTGTTGTCGTTTTGGTCGATGACGTTGATGACGATGTCGATTGGGTTTTCCACTTGGTTTCCGTTCAGATCTACAGCATGGGCCCGCAACTGTCAACACAAAAGTACAAGACATTTCATTACAATTAGGACTAGGGCTGGGCGATATGGATCAAAAAATATATCTCGATATATTTTGCTATATCTCGATATACGATATATATCTCGATATATTGTCAAGAAAAAATAACCCCCTAAAACTGAAAACTGCAAAAACAAATCTGCCAAATTCCACAAGGTCCTTTTTTTTTTTATTGAAGTGTAAGAGGTCGACAGTTCATATAGGAACATTTAAGATTACAAAAAACCCTAATTACATAAATAATTTAACTGTAAAATAAAAGAAATAATACATATTTCCTTCTTTTCATTCATAAATAAACCAACTCAACTCAAGCTCATCTTTGCATTAACTCTGTTATCCAGACCAGAACCAGAACCATGAGCTCATTTAGCAGAAGAAGCTCAGGATGTTCCTTATTTCAACAGATCCATGTTCCTGTCCAGCAGTAAGGAGCTCTGAGGTTTAATCCCACAATCCACTGCAGATCAAACCCAACGTTTCCAAACACAATTGTACAAGTGACACTTCAGCAGATTATTCATTAAAATATTCTGCATAAATAAACTTTACATTGCTAAACTTTACAATATATAAAGCATAACGACTCTAGAGCCACATCAGCCCGTTTGCGATAATAATGTGTTTAATGCAGTTTTGCTCACGTGTGTTTACATTTTACAGAAACGAAACTTAAGCGCATGGCTCATTTGCATAAACAGCACTTCTCACGCAGCTCAACTCGTTTAGCTTCTTTCGGGCTAAAGGACGCGACTCGGTGGAATATGAGGATGTGCTGCTTGGTGGTTTTGTCTGTAAATGGTGGAAAAGGTTCGTGGTGCTTGAAGCTTTTCACTGACACCAACTTTCGGCGTTCACGGCGATAGTGAGGAGTGAAGGAGACACGAGCGAACAAAATCAGGGAGGCGGGGGCGCGCGGGAGAGAAGGTAAACAAGCGAAGCGGCGAAATCAGAATTGAATATAAGCATTATATCGATATATACGATATGTCAGAATTCATATCGAGTTTAAAAACTATCTCGATATATTTAAAATTTCGATATATCGCCCACCCCTAATTAGGACATACATGATGGACAATAAATACAGATTTGAACAAGAGAAGCACCAAGTTACGAGAGTCTGAAAATGCATAAAGGGCCCATATTACATTGTTTTCTGGTCGATGTTATAATCTTGTTTCAGACAGACCTGGAGTTGTGTTTTGTTTCACTCACACATTTAAAACACAAATCCTGTATATTTACACTCTTGTTCACACAAACAGAAAACACTCACACCCTACTGAACCTGTGGTAAAGCTGCTATAATAGCTGAAAACTTGAAAATTACTGCTTCATGACATCACAAGGTGGAGCAAAATTTTGAGATTTGGAGATGCAGACAGACTAATAATAAAAAAAGATTACTCAGACATGTGTGAATGAAACAAAACACAACTCTGGCTTTGTTTTTGTGGAAGTAACAGTAATCTAACATGTCTTAAAGCTCACAAGAGTCAATTTTGAATCATATAGGATCACTAATGGTGAGGAGGAGAAGATGGAGAGTCTGAGGAGGGTCTGCAGCTGTGATGAAAGTTGGTGGGTTGTAAAGGGAAGGGAGAGAGAGTGTGTTTAAATGAATTGCATGAAAGGTAAGTGGTGGAGAGAGGAAACCAGCAGCTAGTTTTCTAGAAGTTGATGATGGCATAATTTCAGACTCAGATTCAGTGCAGGGACCTGTGTAAGTTTTTTGAACAAAATAACCAAACAATTTGAACTAAATAACTATCATGACATTTTTTACAGAGGTATTAACCATAAAACAAGTCAACAAATCAATCAATCAATGCAACCTGATAGTTAAAGGGGCTAGTTTGTTTGTTTTTTGTAAAATAAAATAAAATAGAAAATAAAAAATACAATAAAAAAATCCTGAAGTCTAAAATCTAATGTTGTTTCCTCATCACAAACAGACCTGGAGTTGTATTTTGTTTCATTCACACATGTTTAACACACGAATCCTGCATATTTAGTCTGAGTTCTTCTCTCAGACAATAAAAAACAAAACTCTGTTCCACCCTGTGATGTCATACAGGTAATACAGAAAGGGCTCCACTGTGTTTTTAAACTCCATACACCTTTACCAGAGTCTTTTGGGCAATTTCAAGCCTGGAATTGCAAATCTCTACTGGTAAAAGGAGCTGTTAACATGAAAACTACCACTACATGACATCACAAGGTAGAGTCTTTTGAGCTTTGGAAATGTAGACATGTGTAAATAAAACAAAACACAACAGCGGGTATGTTTTTGATGAGGTACAGTACATTATAACATGGCTAAAAGCTCACAACAGTCATTTTTGCGTAATACTGGACCTTTAAACTGCAAATTCCATACAATTTTACATTACAGATGTTGTAGAAAGCGATGACGTCACGTAAACGAATTAAAGATAGAGTTATAATGAATCACTCTTTTCTGTTAATTTCAAGAATGTGAAAAAAAAGTTCAGAAAATTGGTTCTTAATTAGAAAGTAAGTGCGAATGGCAGACGGTGGCAGACTTCTTCCGAGATTAATTTCGACTTCATATGAAAATTTCTCATTGATTACCTCAAACTGCCTTAGAGGCTCCTTAAATTGTCAAATAATAAAATCGTCAATCACAATAAAGCTTTCTCTGATTCGCAATATTAACCCGTCTTATGATTTGGTAGACCTTCAAATCAAACTAAAACATTCCTGTCTGATAATGATGATTGCAGACTAATTGGGGCTAGTGATGTTTTGAATTATGGACCTCCAATTATCCAACTTCGCTAAAAAGTTGAAAATGACAGTTTAATTGCGGTGGTAAATTAAAAGTGCGGAACGTTTGGTACGAAAACAGGTTCGGCGAGGTTCCTGGCCCAGTTTGACCCTGTCGTTGGTGGAGACAGGAGCATTCACACCGCTCATCTGCATAGAAGCACAAACAGGAGCGCTCCCTGTCACAAAAATAAATGTGTTTTTTAAAATCGATCTGTTTTTTACCTCTCAGACGGCTGCATGGAGCTGGGCAGGTGTCAGGTATTCAAAAGCGGGTTTCTCGTTTTAGCGTTTTGTTGTGATTTTAAAAAAGGAAGGCAGCAGCTCGGTTGGTTAAGTGTTTGGCTGTTGACAAAAAGGTTGGTGGTTCAGTCCCGGGACGCACTAGAACAGGCTGTGTGTTATTTGGCAAGACATCTGCCTTCCTTTAATTGTCTGTGCTGTTTTGTGTTAATAATATTTGGAGTGAGAAGTAATGACTCCAAATGAAATATAAAGAGACAATCTTCAAAAATAGCTGGTTTACAATAATTCATTTAGTCATTTGGCAAAAAAACAACAACTTTAAGATACGCCAAGGAGTTTTTCTGGACATGGAAATGTTATTGCTTTGTCTAGAATGTTCCACAGTATAGATTAAACCTATCTATCATGAGGGAGGCAAGCAGGTTACAGCACGACGCTACCTTACAAGCACTGTTGGGCAAGTTACTTTAAAACTGTAATGCATTATTTATCTCTTATCACTGTCATTTCAAATGAATTTGTTACATTACAATATTACTGTGTTTAAAATTAAAACATTACACGACTATTGCAGCACTTTTAAGTTACTCTCACCAAAATAAATGTGAAGATGCTGAACTTTTGTGCCATATATGGACTGAACCAGGACTAAACCAGGTCTAAACCAGGACTGAACCAGTACTAATCTTGGACTAGAACTTGGAATCTAGGACCAGCCCTGAGCTCGTGGAACAGGATGTCTGCAAGGTGCGATTGGTCACCTGCGGGTAGGCCCGTGTAGCGCGGAGTTCTGCGCCGTCCTTTTGCTCGCAGTCACCCGATGGTCTATGCGGGCGAATCTCCGGCATTTCACCATTGCTGATATCGCGGTAGTTTTAGCAAATTTGTATGAAGAAAAACCCACCATTTCAATCCAAGTAAAAAAACAAAAAACATTGTAACGCGCGTTACTGACATTTGTACTGACTTTTTTCCCTGCCACATTACTGCAAAAAGCAATGCATTACAGTAATTCGTTACTTTTATAACGCACTACTCCCAACACTGATTTCAAGTCAGATCTGTGGAGAATTGCCCCTATTCACACTGTAATTACTATATTTCTGAGCAATAGAAACATCTGTAATGAATAAATGCTGGATGGATGTGTTTAATGTCGTACCATGGAACATTTCAATGAAAGCAATAACATCTCCATGGAGACAAGTAAAATGCAGAAAAAATGCAGGGGCAGATAACATAAGATTCAGGGATGTAACAATAACCGTAATATCGTGATATCGCATCGTCAAAAGTCTCAGTAATATCGTGGACCATCACAATAGATCGAATTACAAGTGTCTTTGCTTAAATGAAGAACTATGGTGCAGGAAAAAAAGAAATACAGTTCTAAGCACTTTTAAGTCATAGTTCTTTGGATTAAGTCTTATCAAGGCATTTTAAGAGGAAAAAGTAGCACATTAACAGTTTTGTTAACCTCCACAAAATATGGCAATAAATATCATACAGTGAGATGTATATCGTGAAAACCGAGAGATTTGGATGTTGTTACATCCCTAATTGTGAGCCTCCCCATCATATCGTGAGCTTTTCCAAGATATCACAATAAATATCGTACCGTGAAGTTCATACCGTGACGATATTGTATTGTGAGACTTGGATATCGTTACACCCCTAATAAGATGACTCTTCTTTCTGCTCCTTTTCATTCATTTCTTGTATGTTTAATGTTGTGACACTGTTAATGTCTTTTTATACTTTACAAATGAAATAAACAATAAACAATGAATAAATAAAAATAAATAAGTAAAATGCAGACCTTCCAGCAGTAAAGTTGAGCAATACACCTTTAAGATACACAAAGGGGCTTTTCTGGTAGGGGTATCTGCAACCTGCACTGCTTGTTTCCATAGAGATTCTATTGCATTGC